TTAATCTACCCCCAATATTGTACTAAAAATATTACCTGTAAAACCATCATTTATATAAATAGAAAATTAATATTAGAGATGCTACTGTGTAGCGAAACAATTGTCATTTTTAAATAAAATAGTGAAAATTTTAAGCAGTGTAGTTTATATTAACATTATAATTTTTATAAAGATAAAAATATTTTTTTGGAAATGGGTGAATCTTTGATATTTCATAATTAAGTAGATATTACAGCTCAGGTTCCAGATTTTTAACCGCAATTAATTATTTTTTACAATGTTTTAAAAGTCTAAAACCTATCCTCCGTGACTGTTACTCTTTCTAGGTTAATCTATGTTTTCAAATATCTGGGGTAGTAAAAGCATACTAAAATTATCAGTTCACTAAGTAAATTAAACACATCCAAAGCAATCGAATCAAATATAAAATATTATTAAAAATGAAAAGAAATAATTTTTGTATCCATTTATGTAGGTGTAACAAAAATTGATTCTATCCTCCGTGAATCTGTTTTTGCTTTAAATTTTATGCAAAGGATGGCGCTTTAATCATTTTAAATAAGCAAAAACCTCTGTTAACGATATTATAGATGAATGTGATTCCTGAAGGTCAGTTAGAATTTATATGCAGATGAGATTGTTGCTGTTTTATAATTCAAAAGTTTAACTTCATTAATTTGCTATTTAAAAACCTATCCACCGTGAAGTGTAATATCTCAGTAAGTAGATTTTTTTATAAATATTTTATGTATGTACAATTTTTTATTTTTAAAAAATATTAAGGTGTCAAAAGATACAATAACTTATTTTAAATATACAAAGGGACATCTCAATATATTCACCCAAATACAAATTTTTAAATCATGAACTTTTAAATTTAATAATATCCAAAACTATCATCCCAAGTATATATTTTTTTGAATATTTATTTTTGAACTCTTTATAGTATTTTGCATTTTCCTGATAGAGAGCTACATACAATTTTTTTTTAATTTTGCTTCAAACACCCTGTGTATAATATATATATATATATATTTGATAAAATTTTGAACGATAAAAGTGGTTAAATCGGAACTTAAATCATTTAATTGATTAATTAAAACATTCGCAGGGATTGCGTGTAAAATTAAATAAGAAGATTAAATCTTATAAATTTGAGTTAAACACTGAAAGAGATAATCAGCGATGAGTTATGGAGACAAACTTTCCGATCGGGATACTTTGCGAACTCAGTTAATTTTGAGCTAATTAAGTGTGTAAACAGCGATCGTCTCGATTTGTTAATTAAAAAACAGTTACGGGGCATGTTGATAATTGCTGTTAAACTTGAATAGACAATGATTAATATCAGTCCGTCTCCAAACTGACTAAACTCCCTAAAAGGGAAAGGAAAGCGATAAGTAATTAATTTGGACTTAATAATAAGTCAATAATTAATTAAACAAAATTGTACTATAACACAGTACGACAAAATTTGATTTTTTTCCCGCCCATGAAAAATTTCTATAGATTTTGATAATAAACTTAAACAAATGATACCCGTGTCTTGGCGTTTTTTTAAGTGCGATCCAATATAATGTTATCCACGGTATTCGGCACATAATATAACAGATTCGATAACAGCTAGACAGTATATTTTTATAAAAAAATTATTCACTGAATAAATGGACAACCATTAATATTATTTATTTATTTTAAAATTATTTTAATTATATACAGGGTGTTGCACATTTACGAAATACTGGTGTTTCACGTTCGTGGTCCATTGAGAGTTTCTGAGGAACGGCAAAAGATATCGATTTGAAATTTTTAAAGCGTTTATAATCCAATTAAGCCTTTTTTTTTAAATATTTTAAACAAAATGCCACTTCCGGCTTGACCGGAAGTGACATCAACTTTATTATTTTAAATGGAACACCCCATATGTTTTTACATTTTTAAATTCTACATAAAATTTTGAGTACAATTACTGTACCATGTCCTATACCTAGAGTAAATAGTTTTGGAGTTATTAATTTTTTCCTTTAAAATATGACAAATGCGTGTCAATCAAAAATAGCCTATAACTTTCTTGCTATTAGGTTTGCAGAAATGGGGGTGGCATTATTGGAATCTTAAAACATTGTTTAAAAGATTCAATCTATTTTTTATAATCTCTAACATGGACTATTACATACACAGTTATCTATGCGTAGATAAACGTTAATTTTAGTCCTTTTTTTATTATCAGTATCCTGGCTTAAAATATCCTGACTCATAGTCTAAAGAATGATATATTTTATATGGTGGGCTAAATTTCTCAATTGAATAGTACAAAAAATGACGGATAATTTTTTCCCTAGTTATTAAACTTCAAAATCATTATAGACCGGTACATCTAAATTTCCGTTTTCTTATTGTTTTATTTATAGTAGATCCAGGAATACAGGAAATTTTAATTGATTTCCGAAATCGAGCTCTATAAAACCAACATGCCATAACCTTTATTCGAACGGAAATTCAAAAGTATATCTGTACGGTTTACGTATATGGGTGATTCCATAAGAAATGTTTAAAAAAATTGATTTTTATAACATGAAATAATAATAATTTTATAATAGTTAGTATAACTTAATTTCATTGCTGAAGACTGGCATAAAATTATTATTATAGGAACAACACATCTTCAAAAAATTTCATAAAACATTTTGGTTTTTTTTGCTATAGTTTTGCCATTTTAAAAATTGTTTTTACATTCTTAAAATGTGTTTGTTACGTTCTTAAATGTCTTGACACTCTTAAATATGGTTTTGACAATCTAAAATTCGTCTTGACATTCTAAAAGATTTGTTTTGCATTTTGACATTTTTAAAATGTGTTTAACATTTTTAAATATGGCTTGGACACTCTTAAATTTGTTTTGACATTCTTAAATATTTGTTTTGCATTTTGACATTCTTAAATATTTGTTTTGCATTTTGACATTCTTAAAATGTGTTTTTTACTTGTTTAAAACTCTTTACATCCTTATATAAGGTTTTTACAATCTAAAACTTCTTTTAACATTCTTAAATATTTGTTTTGCATTTTGACATTCTTAAAATGTGTTTTTTTAAGTATCTTAAACATCTTAACATTCTTGAGTATGGTTTTGACAATCTAAAATTTGTTTTAACATTCTTAAAGACTTGTTTGGCATTTTGACATTCTTAAATATGGTTTTTACGTTCTTAAATGTCTTGACATTCTTAAGTATAGCTTTAACAAACATATGAAATCTATTGTTAAAGTTAATGTTTTGAAAATAACTTATGTAGGTTCGGACAGTACATTGCGGGTAAGGGGAGTTCCTTTTATACTTTTTTTTTATACTAATGCAAAAATAGCATAGGTACCAACTTGCAAAAACAAAATTTACTTTGTCATTTTATTACAATAAACTCTGTTTGTTTCCTCTTTAAACACATTTAATCAAAATTTGTCCGTAATAAACTTTCAATTAGTTAGTGTAGAAGATTATAACAATAATGTTATAATTCCATCTTAATAAACATTCCCCACCGCTATAAACAGTCAACAATTCACGAGCGTTGGATTGGGCTTGGACACGTATAAATAGACCTTAATGCTGACGTCATAGGCCATTGATATGGCCGCGACTATAGTTGGTTTCTATGGTAACGCTTTTCGCTTTTGACAGTTGCAGTGACATTTCTTTATGCAGTGTTATTTAATATCTTGAAATGGACATGGGGTTTATAATACACGGAGAGAAATGTATAGTAAATTTTAGATAGTAAAAAAAATATAGTAAAATTTACTTTAACAAATTTTTAGGGTAACAATATTATATATTCGTCAATACAATATTAAGATTGTAATACAAAATACTATTTTTTATTATACAATTTTAGTAAAGATTACAACACCAATATTACTAAATCATAAATGTATAATATATATTTTAATTTTTAATATGTTCGTATAGTAAATTGATTTTACTATCTACAAATAGTAATATTTTCTATAAGATTTAATCAAATTTAAGGTGTACATCTAATATTATAATATATTACACATTAATAAAAAATATAGTAAAAATAAAGATACTTTTATGTTTAAGGTAAATAAACAATATATTTAAATATAATATACAATAAAGTAACTCATGACATTTTAAACATTCAATTTTCTTAGTTTCTTCAATAAACTTTCTTGACTCATTACTGGTAATACTTATAAGAAAGAATTGAACCTACTTGGTTGCATAGTATGTACCGATTGCGGCAAAGGCCACGTCGCGACGCGTCGTTAGACGGTGTGGATCACGTGATGTTCTTACATCTCGCCTCTGTTGGCTTACCAACCATGTTATATAAGCTCATGTATTTCTTTGTTTTGGGTGGGTTCCACTACTACAAGTTTATTGACAGTGTCGTGTCGACACTGATGATACCCAATATAGGTCAAAACACCTGTCTGTCGGTATTTGAAGTTGGAACGCACTCAAAACAAAAAACTTTGGCGAGGTGTAGGTTCAATTCTTTCTCATAACATTTTTGTATATTAAAAAGTACAATAAATATGTTACAATTTTTAATTGCTAACATATAAAAATATTCGATTTTAAAATATTTTATTTAAAATGGCAACATAATATTTTAAAATTTACTATACTTATCAGTAATGGAAAAAATTTAATTATATTAAGAATTAAAAACAAAATTGGTTGAGAATAATAATATTTTGCCTTAAGGTTTAACATACATGGATATTTAAAAATTATTAAATATCATAGTAGTGCAATATACAAGTTGTCCCAAATAGTAATATAAATTATCGTAAAGGGTATTATAATTATGGTAATCAGCATTATACTTTTCTCTCCGTGTAGTATTTTATATTGTAATTTCGTTGGAATGACCCATAGGGATATATTCCTTAGGAAAACAGCGATAACGGCGCGCATTGTGTTATTGCGATCGAGTCGTCTCATGCATTCTTCGGTTTTTTTGTTGCAGGCAAATCGTACACAATGCTCGGCACACCGGATAATGCAAATACTTTGGGGATCATCCCTTGCGCAATTTCGTGGCTGTTCAAAGGAATAAATGAACAGAAACAAAAGACGGGAGCCAGGTTTTCCGTCAGGGTCTCGGCGGTGGAAGTGTGCGGCCCCACGAACCAGCTCAGGGACTTATTGGCAGGATATTCAAATGGTAAGTTTTCCGCGACGAGAGCTTTTTTAGAGGGATTTGGAAGCTTGTAGAGGTTAAGGTTGCTTTTTGTGTACGTGCAATTTGTAGTATAAATTTGGGTAATCCTTTGATAAAAGCGAATTTAACTGGCCAAAAAGGTTTACATTATACAAGTGTTCTCATCTCATTGCATAATATTGAGCTTTTTTGTGAATAATAATATGCATTATAAACTTCACTTTGATTTCAACCAATCGGGCTTTAAATTGTGTTCTGATACCCTAAAGCTTGTTTTTACATTTTAAACAATTTGTTTTGCATTTTAACATTCTTAAAATGTGTATTTACGTTATTAAATGTCTTGACATTCTTTAATATGGTTTTGACAATCAAAAATGATTTTTACATTCTAAAGATTTGTTTTGCATTTTTACATTCTTAAAATGTGTTTGTTTGTTACGTTTTTAAATGTCTTGACATTCTTAAATATGATTTTGACAATATAAAATTACTTTTTTAAATCTCTTGACATGCTTAAAAAAGGTATTAACAATCTAAAACTTGTTTTGACATTCTTAAATATTTGTTATGCGTTTTATCATTCTTAAAATGTGTTTTTTACGTTCTTAAATATCTTGAAATTCTTAACTATAGATTTGCCATTTTAAAAATTGTTTTTACATTCTTAAAGATTTGTTTTGCATTTTTACATTCTTAAAAAGTGTTTGTTACGTTCTTAAATGTCTTGACACTCTTAAATATGGTTTTCACAATCTTAAATTTGTTTTGACATTCTTAAAGATTTGTTTTGCATTTCTACGTTCTTAAAAAGTGTTTGTTACGTTTTTAAATGTCTTGACATTCTTAAATATGGTTTTGACAATCTAAAATTTGTTTTTACATTCTTAAAATGTAACTTTTTTAAATCTCTTGACATGCTTAAAAAAGGTATTGACAATCTAAAACTTGTTTTGACATTCTTAAATATTTGTTATGCGTTTTAACATTCTTAAAATGTGTTTTTTACGTTCTTAAATATCTTGAAATTCTTAACTATAGATTTGCCATTTTAAAAATTGTTTTTACATTCTTAAAGATTTGTTTTGCATTTTTACATTCTTAAAAAGTGTTTGTTACGTTTTTAAATATCTTAACATTCTTAAATATGGTTTTGAAAATCTCAAATTTGTTTTGACATTCTTTAAGACTTGTTTTAAATTTTGACATTCTTAAAATGTGTTTTTACGTTCTTAAATGTCTTGACAATCTTAAATATGGTTTTGATAATCTAAAATTCCTTTTGACATTCTTAAAGATTTGTATTGCATTTTGACATTTTTAAAATGTGTTTTTTACTTTCTTAAATGTCTTGACATTCTTAAATATGGTTTTGAAAATCTCAAATTTGTTTTGACATTCTTTAAGACTTGTTTTGAATTTTGACATTCTTAAAATGTGTTTTTTACGTTCTTAAATGTCTTGACAATCTTAAATATGGTTTTGTTAATCTAAAATTCGTTTTGACATTCTTAAAGATTTGTATTGCATTTTGACATTTTTAAAATGTGTTTTTTATGTTCTTAAATGTCTTGACATTCTTAAATATGATTTTGAAAATCTAAAATTTGTTTTGACATTCTTAAAATGTATTTTTACATTCTAAAAATTATTTGGACGTTCTTTAATATGTTTTACATTCTTAAATATGATTTTGACATTATTAAAGATTTGTTTTGCATTTTTACATTCTTAAAATGTGTTTTTTTACGTTCATAAATGTCTTGAAATTCTTAAATATAGTTTTGACAATCTAACGTTCGTTTTGACATTCATAAATATTTGTTTTGGATTTTGACATCCTTAAAACAAGCTTTTTACTTTCTTAAATGTAATTTTGACAATCTAGAATTCGTGTTGACATTCTTAAAAATTTGTTTTACATTTTAACAATCTTAAAATGTGTTTTTTACTTCTTTTAATCTCTTGACATGCTTAAAAAGGTATTGACAATCTAAAACTTGTTTTGACATTCTTAAATTTTTGTTTTGCATTTTGACATTCTTAAAATGCCTTTTTTACGTTCTTAAATGTCTTGACATTCTTAAATATGGTTTTGACAATCTAAAATTCGCTTTGACATTCTTAAAGATTTGTATTTTGACATTTTTAAAATGTGTTTTTTACGTTCTTAAATGTCTTGACATTTTTAAATATAGTTTTATTATAATTTTAAAATGTATTTTTTACATTCTAAAAATTATTTGGTTTTTTCATGTTTCACATTCTTAAATATGATTTTGACATTCTTAAATATTTGTTTTGCATTTTGACATTCTTAAAATGTGTTTTTTTAAGTATCTTAAACATCTTAACATTCTTTAGTATGGTTTTGACAATTTAAAATTTGTTTTGACATTCTTAAAGACTTGTTTTGAATTTTGACATTCTTAAAATGTGTTTTAACTTTCTTAAATGTCTTGAAAATCTTAAATATGGTTTTGACAATCAAAAATTCGTTTTGACATTCTTAAAGATTTGAATTGCATTTTGACATTTTTAAAATGGGTTTTTTACGTTCTTAAATGTCTTGACATTCTTAAATATGGTTTTGACAATCAAAAATTCGTTTTGACATTCTTAAAGATTTGTATTTTGACATTTCTAAAATGTGTTTTTTACGGTCTGAGATATCTTAACATTTTAAAATATAGTTTTGACAATCTAAAATTTGTTTTATCTTGAGAAGGTGACTATAATAACATTTAAAATTGGTAAAACGCGATGTTAACCATTTGACAGATGTCAGATTTTATATAATTACTTTTTAAAATCATTTAATTATTTACTTATTGGAGTAGATAAAGTATAGTATTACAATCGAGATTATACGCATTATTACTCGGATGATTTAAGTCTCTCGTCTCGAGACGCGCAAACTTTATCCTCGTAAATAATAGCCGGCATTATATCTCCTATAAAATAATACTATTTTTGACATCCCCTTACGCCTTTTACACGCAGATATTTGTAATGTTTATTAACCAAGTTGCAAAAATGGCGAATGCGCCGGGATAATATAACAAATTTAACAGTAAAATAACTTTTAGGGTTGCAAATATATAAAAATGTTTTTAAAATGTTCAGGATACCTTCAGAAAGTCATTTTGCCCAAATTAATTTGAAAATTTTTGTGAAAATTAAGAATTAAAAAAAATTCAAGTTTTTTCCCAAATTATTTTCATTTTATTTTTTATAATTTTTGGCGGTGTTGCCAAATTTATTTTTATACTTTTAAATTTAAATCATCCCAAAATATTTAATATTTTTTTACCCAAAATTTTATATATTTTGTAAAATAGTGAATATTTTTCCACAAATATGATTTAATTAATACAAACTCTGTAATACTTTTAAAATGTAAAGATTAAGATGTTCAAAAGGTGAACATTTTTCATAAATATTTAATTTCTTGTTAAAAGGACATAAATTGATTAAAGAGTGTTTTTGTACTTAGCCTAAACATAATTTTAATTAATATAATTAAGCAGTTTTTGAGCAATTAAACGTAAAATTGAAAAGCCTTAATTATTCAAATAACTTTTTCAGTATTAATTTAAACCTCTTTATTTAAAATTATATTTAATATAATGGCACACCGCGCAGTATTAAAGAATAATTAATTACATCCTCGAACTTCTTTAGAAATACCCCAGATTTTTTCCCGGCTCGCGAAGAATTTTAATTAGATTTTATTTCTGGTAACTTTATTAATAAACTGCGTAACCTTTCGCAGTTTTTCACAAAAGCCAGGGGTTGAGCCTTCGGAATGCGCAGTTTTGAAGAGTTCAATATTATCGCAATAAAACGCATCTGTCGCGCGCGTTTGTCGTTCTGACAATATGTAAGACACCTAGTAACGTCCTCCCCGAATCGTGTCGGCGTTAATAAGATATTTTTCGAAGATTGCCGACAGCTGTGTCCCTTTTAACTACTTATGTAAGTACGTCGCACGGGGTTTCCATCCCACTCGTTACAAGTTTAAATTTTTGGGACGTGTGCTATTCGAATTCGGAAACTTTCCTATCATGGTAAAAGTTTGTGTGAAGTATTTATGCAAAAAAATTTTGACTTTATAGGACATTAAAAGGTGAATATTGTGAAAAATATTAAAATTAAAAATTGATTTATTTTTTATTAATTTTATCAGGGAAAATAATATAAAATTCACATACTACACAGTTCCTGCCATAAAAAAAAACAGATTTTAAAAATTAAGGTTAAAAAACGTTTTACGAAATCCCGTCATTTAAATTGTTTGTACAGCCATTCTTATTTTTCAACCTAGACAGATTTTTAATTCTCTATTTTGTTATAAATCATTTTTTTCTTTAAATTTTATGATTTTACATAATACAAAAATTAAACTTAAAGAAAATAATATTTTTTTAATTAAAAAATAATCATTTCTGTTTTTAATTTTTGATTTTGTTTTTATTAAAAACAGATTTGTATTTATCTTATATTTTTAATATAATATATTATGTTGCAAACAATTCTTGGTTTAAAATTTAGAATTTAATTCTACCTAAAATTCTGTTTTTAGGAAATATTTTCCGACATTGCAAAACGTCTCAGAATCTAGGTTTTTAAAAATATGTTTGCGGTGTTGCCAAATTTCAAAATTTAATTTTTTTACAAAATTTTTACAATATTAAAATATTTTCAGTATTTTTGTAAAACAACAAAATTTAATTCGAAGTTAATTCTCTATTTTGTTATAAATCATTTTTTTCTTTAAATATTTTATGATTTTACATAATACAAAAATTTAAAGAAAAAAAAATATATTTTTTTAATAAAAAATAATTATTTGTTTTTAATTTTTTTTTTAATCAAAGAACAGATTTGTATTTATCTTATATTTTTATTATATGTAGCAAACAATTCTTGGTTTAAATTCTACATAAAATTCTGTTTTTAAGTTTTTTTGTAATACAATAAATTTTTATTCGCAGTTTTTG